GGGGGGGGGGGTGCCATATTTACTTCCATGACACTTTTTTGTTCCTAAAGCCTGTTACATTTGAGCCTTCCTTTGCCTCCCGCCTAGATTGAAATGGCCCCTAATTGGTCCCTGGCCTTCAGTTCCTTCCCCGTCTCCCGTCTTTTTTTTTCAGTTCTTACTTATTTGTTTTCCTCATCCAAGGGTACTTTTTCCATTGCTTTTCAGAGAGCGGGGCGGGGAGGGGGGTGGCGGACACAGGGAGAGAGACATCGATGTGAGAGAGACATATCGATTGGTTGCCTCCCGCATGAGGCCCCGGGGCAGGAGCCTGCAACCGAGGTACGTGCCCTTGGCCGGAATCGAACCCAGGACCTTTCATTCCTCGGGCCAACACTTACCCACTGAGCCAAACTGGCCAGGGCCTCTTCTTTTTTTCCTTTTCTCCTCTCCACTCTTCTCTTCTTTTCAACTTGTTTTGTATAACGTATTTTATCCAACTTTATCCTTTTCCCTGCCCAGAAGACTCTGAGGTGGCTTACAGACACACATGCACACACAGTCACACATATACGTAGTGAAACAGCAATAGATTTTATAATGGCATGTGAAATAAGAGTGACAAGAAGTAAGATGAAAGCAGGTTCGTACCCAGAATGCGTGCCAGATGATTTTATATTCAAGAAATCAATTGCAAATTTACTCTAAATTTCCCAGCAGCCAAAGGTAAAAGACTAATTTCAAAATATATATACATGGCCCTCATCCGGAGCACAGTTGTTCCTGGCACTGAGGCCTGAGTCCCTCACAGGGGTCCCCCTCAGGTTGAATGGCCAACATTCTTATCGGAACTCCACAACAACTTAATAGCTGATTTCTATAATATTCCTCAATGTAGCTGCTTGGCATAATTTCAAATTATGACTTAATGAAAGAAGTAATAAAAAGGGTGAAAGAATATGTGATCTAAGTTCTTATCTCTCTGATGGTTTGCTTCATTCCAAGAATACAATTTAGACTATTTAGAAGAAGGCAAGGACTGCATAGGTAATCTGTCATTGGTGTTATTTCTCGCAGTCTTTTAAATTTTTTATTTTAATTTTTATTAAAGTGATACATGTATACAGTTTGAAAGTCAAAGTACTAGAATCCTATTGAAAACTAATTAGCATGCTTTCCTTCTGCTTCTGCCCAAGTCCTGCTCCCCAGAGATAACCATTTGGGCTTCTGGCATTTATTTTGTGTTTCCCAAAAACTAAAGCTCCCTTAACTCATGTCCTAGGGCAGGTTTTATTGAGTTTGCTTAATGACTATTTTTTTATTTCCAGGATTTCAAATTGTCTTTCCCCCCACATCTCCTGGCTTATGTTTTATTTTAACTGCCTCTGTTTCATAACCTCTCGTTCACTTCTCATACAGGCCTCTCTGTCGTTTGTGTATCTTTTGAGCATTCTAAGCATGCTTGTTTTAGGCCTTGGTCAGTCAGTGCCACAGTTTATTTTCTGATTGTTGGCTGGTGCTGGTTATCTTCCTTAGCACTTCGTTTCACTGGTGTAGAGTTCGGAACAGCAGGCTCATTTTGATTTTGTTCCTTTCTCTCTCCATGTGCGCATCCCCTCTAGCTGGGGATGCGCACTTACCCCTCCCAGACCCCCAGGGCCCAGCTCAGAACCAGGACTCGGTGGCATTTGGAACTGTTGCATCACAGTGAGACTGTTACAGATCCTGTTACTTAGGTGGTGAGCATCTTGGCTCTGGCTCTGTCTTCCAGCCTCTCCAGGCCCCCAGCTCCCTATAACTATTTAGCTCAGGGGAACAGGTCATGAGCCCTATATTTTTAGCCTCTTTTTTATAAACAAGGGAGCCTCACCTCATCCCTTGGCTTTAAGCTTTGGAGCTGATTCCACTCACCTTCCTCGTGTGAAGCATTTTTCCCCCTTTTAACTGTTGAAACTGAACCGGTTCCTGCTACTCCTGCTTCCAGAACGGAGGGCCCAGCTTCCACTCAGCTTACTGCTTTGTGTTTCTGTTCTGTTTTTGGTCCATGGAGATGTTTATCTTGTTTTTTGACCTATTTTTGGTTTCCCTTTTTACATTTTACTTATTACTGCCCCGGGTTTGGAGTAGAGGGGAGCACTTCAAAGTCTGAACTGACAGCATCTTGAGTGGAAGTCTGTACTTTGCTTGCCAAGTGCATAGGTAAGAATTCAAGTCTTTGGAGGTGAGGAACGTGTGAGGATAAGCAGTGATCTAAGTATCTGGTGCGCTTCCAGGCACGTGTGCACCTGATCTTGGGATCAGCCTGTGTGTGGCGCAGGGATCTGTATCTTTACCACAGGGCCTGCTGTGGAGAGAGAGTTGAGTTGAGTCTCTCTGAAAACAGTTTACTAAGTGGCTCTGTAGGGAGGAAACCCTCATAAACTTCTCATTCCCTGATGCTACAATTTTAAGTCCACTGCCTCCTATTTTCTTCTCTTGAAACAAAGCAGTGTTAATTATTGTCCTTGGTAATTATTTCAGTTTCTTTTCCAATATCCTCTTTTGTAACTTGAAATTCCTTTTCTTTGATGCCTTCTGAGGCCCTCCACATACCTGTGAGCTGGGGGGCCCTGAAGGAGCGCAGCATCTCACAGAGAAAGGATGGGCTAGGCTGGCACTGTTAGAACTGCCTCAGCTCCCACACGTGGTGCACCTCAGTCAAGCTATTACTGT